TGCTTCATTTGATCAGCTAACAACTGCATCACTGAAATAAAGAAAGGTAAAACACTGCAAGGTAAGCTTGAAAGCAGGGAAGTCGGTGTGGGTAACCTGAGGTTGTGCGTTTGAATCGTGAACTATTGTCCAACTTCCACTGTTCTGTCTATCTTTCTGACCGTAAATGCGGATATATTCAATTAAGCAAACAGGAAATCCAAGAATGCTTTGATTGTTCCAAACAAGACTGCAGATAGACAGACAGAAAACTGTGAGGAGAAAAAACCTTACCCCTTTGGATTTTGTTCCAACTCGTGTAGCAAGGTGTGATCCACATATTGGAATACCAAATGAAGTCGACGTTTTCGCTTGAACACTTCAATCAAGTTGATCAGATTCGGATGTTTCAATTGCTTCAAATGGGGAAATTGACAGATAGGGGAATAAATAGTACAACTAATTAATCGCATTTTTGATGATCAGATTGTCACGAAGCGTAGTTTCATACTTTTCTCAACGCGTGACCGCTTAGAGTTTTGTAAAACTTTTGTTGAGCGAGTTCAAAACACACAGCGGTTAAATCATTGCTGCTATTTATCTTGCATCAAAACAAACAAATCACAAAGAAAGAAATTTCCGTAAAGATTAAATTTTGGAACCGTCTGGTTTTAAACTTTTTTTCACTGTATTGAAGAACCATATGAGCTAGTAAAAAAAAATCGTGTATTTTTAGCTTTCTTGTGATCTGTCATATTTAAATCAACGAGCATTGGGGTAAACAGAACGTTTCGGTTAACTGATTAACACATGTACAACGCACCGCGACTCGAGCCCCATGTCGCCGCTGCATTCATACTCTTATATTCATAATTCACTGAAACCAAGGTGTTTTCCAGACGAATGTGAAGCAATGCCGCTCACACAATTCGCGCCAAATGGCTTGACCTCCGCCTCGGATTGACAAGTCCATAGCAAAAGGTGGAGAAATATAGATATCTTTCAACTGGCATTTTGTAATACTCTATTTGCGTTATTCCGTAGTCAGCACTCATATTCATGGATGATGAAAAAAACAAAATTCTAGAGATCTGATGAACAGATACCTACGAGTGGCATAAGACGAGGAAAAAACGCATGCATTTGCCACCAATTTTCCGTTACGGTTACACCGATCAAATTAACACAGTGATGCAATAATTTTCCTTCCGTCGGTGCACACCCGTCTGTCATGTTTTAATTGAGCAGTGGTCGACGGGGTTGAGTTGAGCTCGGACATATGGGTTGCGTCATTTAGGAAAAGTTCGCCTTGTGAAATCATCCTGTATTTGTTAAAATGGTGTAACAACAGCTTCGGGTTAGAGTTTTTCACCTGTTGATTTGGATTGACACTGTGACTTTTATGACCGCGATACGTGGGGAACCGAATTTTCCTTGACCCCCAATCCAGCTCGCAGATTGCTTCTTCTCGTGTGAAGGCAAACACACGACGTATGCCTCAGACGATGAAGTCATTGGCAACTTCAGTCTGCATCCGAAATTGTGCTATCTTTGTGTTTACACTAGCAGTGCATCCGTGAGGTCATTTATAATTCTAAAGGTTTCTTCATTTGTATAATAATAATATAATATATATGGTGTGTAATTTAATAGTAACATCGTTTACGCTTCTTTTGCTAATTCGGGGGTATCACGCGGTTGAAGGAAGCAAACTAATATAATTTGCAGTTAAATATCGTTGTTATTCTGAATAAATCCTAAGGTATACTTGCTGTTTTGACTAAACGCTTCTTTTTTCAGAGATGAATAAAGCTTTATGAACATGTCTGTCTTGCTCTCTACTTTGGCTCTCTGATCGTTCGAATCTTCATTAACGAAACTTCATATACGAATAACTTTGAACTTATTACTAAGAAACGGAATAGTTCACTGAGAATGGCTGTCTGTATGTTTTTAAGTTCAGATTTCTCTGTCCGTCATTCCGGATACGTTTATGGCTTCGCAATAACACGCCGGATTGGTTTGAAGTTGGCAATATCATCGTGTATATCAACAGAAGCGGTACCGTTTAATCAATTTCAAGGATTATTAGGATGGCTTATCACCGTCAACCCATGGTGCAAAAAATTTGAGAAAACGAGTCGGTGGGCGAACAATTGTTTTCGGAAATTCCTAGTCATGCTCTTACATATCAGATAGTGGAAAAAAATTATTACATGATGATAACCATTGTCTCAATTGAAGATCATTAATCGGCGGCGGGCAGTATGCGTCTGTGTGTGGGAATATTTAGCGTGTTGTTTGATGTGACCTTTCTCCACTTGGGTCAAGTGACACGTCATGTTCAGTCTTGGTTTTCACATCCGGTCAAGGCAATTGGAGCGCCTGCACCAATCACTTTTGGGCACACAGGTCGGGGCCTAGAGAGCGAATGGCGATCGCCTCGACCGTGGTCAGTGTCCAAACTCGGGCCGCCTTCGATCGATTGAGTGGAATACGATAAACAACATCGAAAGCTTTCTCCTGTTCGATCTTATGCCCGGTGCCGACGAGATGCCCCACGATCGCGCTTGAGACAACCAGTCTTCCCCGGTGCTCCTTAACACGCTGAGACAAACACCTTACCGTAAGACCTATGTAACACGCGCCACAGACGCACTTAAAAGAGTAAATTATCATGGATGAGGTCAATTTCGGCATTTTGTCTTTCACTTGCATTGACATCATCGATGATTTAGAGAACACTGGTCTAAGTTGGGCTGATGGGAAAGTGGAATTCACAACCGCTCCAAGTGATTGGATTAGGCTCTCTGTGTGAGAGTCCCCATTAAATGGGATTTTTATGAATAGTTCTTTCTTGGGGACACAAATGGAGTTTTTCTTCTCCGGAGTGAGCCGAAAGTTCTTATCGATGAAGCTTTCCGGTAGCGTTAGGCGGATGAAGTGTAGTTCTTCATCCAGTGTGTCTGATGAACAAGTCTTTCGAGCTCTGAAGGCTAGACACCGGACTAGTTTGCGTTTATATTTCACTGGGACGAAACTATGGAAGTTGGCATATTGGCCATTCCATGTTTTCTTTCTGTGGATCTGTCTTCTTACTGATCCATCTTCTTCCCTGGACACGGCAACATCCAGAAAGGCCAATATGTTGTTCGTTTCAACCTCTACAGTGAATTCCAGTGATAGATGTACTTCGTTAAATAACTTCAGTGTCTGTGGGATGCCATTTTTGCAATCGGCCACACAGAAGGCATCATCCATATGTCTATTGTAGTGTGCTAATCTTTCAACAGTTCGGCTCAGCGTTCTCCTTTCTAGTTTTGTCACGATATTAGCTAGCAACGGACCAACTGGCGATGCCATGACAACCCCGTCCAGCTGACGATAGATAGTATTGTCAAATAGAAACTGGACGTTACGCGTGTAGCGTACTAATAGTTCCTTTAGATTTGTGACAGGAATACCAACGTCTACATTCAGTGTTTTTATTTGATCACAGATGAATTCCACTGTCTCCAGCAGGGGTACATTAGTGAACAGTGAGACGACGTCCAAGTAAAACACCGTCTTTTCTTGCAGATCGAGGTTTTCTATTTTAGCTACAAACTGGGAACTGTCTCAGACATTGTGTGTGACGAATTTCCGACGGATGGGTTCCAGTGATTCGACTAACCACTGTGCCGTTGTGTGATGGTTATCATTATGTAATAATCTTTTCCACTATATGATATGTAAGGGCATGACTAGGAAGATCCGAAAACAATTGTTCGCCCACCGACTCGTTTTCTCAATGCTATCATGTAAAAAATTTATTGGGTAGTCGGAAATTTTTAGTTACATTGCCCCATGTATTTGGAGTCATACAGTGTGAAGCACGCGGTCGTCGAACACCGCTCAACTGGCTTGTGGAAAATTCCTACTTCCAATATGCTCAACCAATTTGTCGTAGGTCTCAGCCGGAACGAATCCAAAAAAACTGCTCCGTGGTTTTGATTGTTTATTTCTATTATACCCTCCCCATCTTGTTCAACTCCCTTAAAGTACAAGTGAATGCAGTAGCAGTCTAAGGTAAAAATGGAAGATGTACAGTATTGCAGAATGCACCAACTTTCGAAGTTTGCTTAATTGCACACAAGACATTCAATATGTACACACACACATATATATATATATATAATACTCGTTTCGCGGTGATGAGGGATAACCGAGTACACGTGAGTGACGTGCGGTAATTACCCTAAATCTTTCGTTTATTTCTAGTGCAATTCCGTAGTCCCCAGATACTACCCGTTACAAAATACTCCATAGATAATGATTACAATGTCCTCAAAAATTACGCCCCATAACACTGATTAGATATTTGTGAGGAAAAATATCGGTGTGGTTCTGTGTTTGCAACAAAGAGGATACGGTGAGATCACATTCACCATGATTCTCCTGGAGAATGAGCCCTTAGAGATGGTACACTGTCACAGACTGCACGTGCCTCAAACAGATCTACGCTTTTTAGTGGATTATTCCGTAGCCTCTATTTGATATACCAGACTTGTCCTCCATCTAAATTTTTGTCCACCGAAGCTTAAAGTCATCGGCCCAAATCAGACAGACATCGAAAAATGGTCGACGAACACTGTAACCAACAGCTGCCCCCTTATTCTACCATAGAGTACCTTGCTGTTTCACGGGTAAAAATCTAATTCATTTCAACAGTGAAAATTTCAGTCCATCAGAAGTCCCGCGAGACGGGAAGTGGAAGCAACGGTCATTCATGTGTTAAAGGCTTTACTAAATTTAACGAACATGATGCCTGTTGGTTGGCTTTCAATATTGGTGTCCACCCATGCACATAGTGCCAAGAAGTCAGACAGAAGCGAGCTCATTAACTGGAGACCTTTAATTCGCGCACATTACTGCTTTGCTATCTGCTGTTTCATCACTACAAGCCACATAAATAAGGTCAATCAGAAAATCGTTAACATTCATAGTTGGGCCACGTCTCTCGAACAACGGTACCACCACTTCTTTCTTCCATTAACATACTGTAAATTTTGAATACTTTTCCTCCCGACGGTTAAGTTAAAAGATTATTTTTTTTGTCCCCCGGGGATGAAGTACTTTTGTTCGGTAAAAATTTTTGTTGAAAAACTATACTTCTTCTGGTGCACTAACTATTCTATTAGTCGCAGGGAAGCTAATGAAAACCTGAAGGTGGAAAAACGGGGTTGGTAACTCTTTCTTACTCGCATGCAATTTTGAGCATGATCTGTTCCTGACAGAAGTTCACTTCGCTCACCTTTAACGTTCGTATTTCTCTCATAGCAATCCTGTGAATCACCGGATCCTCCTCAGAGTCGGTGAACTTTTTAATGGCCACAATATCACCAGTGTCACGATGACGACACTTGAAAACGACACCGTATGCACCCTCACCAATTCGTGTTAACTTTTCATAACGATCCATGAATTAAATGCCCTTCAGTTTAGAAAAAGATACATCTGTATCGGAATTTCATCGCACATTACCTTCAAAATGTGATGTCCGTATCTGAGACAACCAATGTAAAATGTCCTCCAGGATAGCTGCCTCGTCCTGATTTCGTCGGTATAAAAAAACAATGAGGTGTTCAAAGTTATGTCTTATGTATCAAGTGATGACTTTAAAATATTCGTGTAAACGAACAATAAACTGATATGCTCAAGATACTAGCCTTCGACTGTGTACTTCATGATGAAGGATTCCTACTCCCAAAGAGCAGGTTCGGGGTTCGAATCCGGCCAGGATTAAAAGACGGTATGTACTGCTGCATAGTCCTTTTTTGGTCATGATACACAACTTTTCTAACAACATATTTGAAGATATTTTTCATCAGCTAACTCCCATAAATCGAGAACTAAATGCGTTAGACAAGACTTTTGAACTAACCAGCAAGTCTCTTCTAAGAAATATGTGAAATTCAATAAACCACACTGGATTTGGCCGAAAAAACGAATGGGACAAAATAATAATCAATTGTTTTACTGGGGAACCTTCCGTTGCATATTGGTTTAAAAGTAAGTAAAATATATTTGTGGTCTAAGCGCATAAAACAGAGAAGAATTTACGTCATCTAATGGCTAAATACATCCCGTTGTCACAAAGGAAGATAATCAGTGGCGTATTCGGAACTGTCTTGTCATCAACTGGATAGGCGACACTCAGATATCTCGTTAAACCACCGATGCGAGCAGCTGCTTAAATTACACCATATTATTGTTGTATTTTATTGCATGTTTTTTAAGTTACGCGTTCATTGCGCATTTTTGTGTACCGGGTTTTTTTACTTATACTATTATTAAATTGTGTTGCAGAGCTCCTAGATTGTGCACTTTGTGCATGAGCTTATAAAGTTTTTCTTCGGTTGCCGTATTCAATAAAGTGTACGACAAAAATCATAGTTTCAATAAATCGTTTGTATTCAAAATAAAAATAAAATCAACATTGAGAAATATGCAATAAGAATCAGTATGAGAGCAATGAAAATAGTAAGACATTTTTTGGGCTTGTGGCCCCTAATTTTCCACTACAAGATCTAAGAAGACAACAAGATTTTAAGGATATTTCATTTGGGGTGGTTATTTAAAATTATTGGAAAGAGGATAGATTGCTTATACAGCGTCGTATACTAATCTTTTGTCAAATGATACCATGGAGATAAAAATGTAATTTAGATGGCTGCCTACTTCTGCAAAATGCAGAGAATATGAGTTTTATTTGACATAACTCAGGCAATTCATTCCAATATTTCCAGTTGTATTGTAGCGAGAAGGCGAGTTGGTTCGGAAAACATTTATTGATCCAATTCAAAAACAACTGGTGTAGGTGTTCAATTATATACAATCAATTCTTAACCGCGCGGCAGGATGATTCATGCCTCATCCTGTTGGTCCATTCCTGTTGGTTTTGGTTCGT